TTGGATTGGCTGAGAAACCTCTGATCCCATGACTCTAGATGTAGTGGGAGGGAAAGAAACTACAGGATCAGAGAGAGGTGGTAGATGAGAGATAAAGTGAAAACTTTGAATGTCGGAAGAAAAACCTCACAGGAGTCCCCTACTTGTGGGGAAAATGGTTTCCCAACATGTTCTTTAATCCCCCAGCACCAACTATCCCAGAGACTGCTTAAAGAAACCATGGCCAGTGATTGAACTGAGATCTGATCTTGATTCTGAGTCAAAATAATCATTTACTCTTGTGTATTCTATCATCTATCATAATCTATATCCTGCTTATATGGGAAAATATATTTTCTCATTATCAGTGATTGTGTTTCCTGTAATAAGTACTTTGTGGGAAGGAGCTAAGCTGGCTCAGTGGCAAGCTAAGCTTGCCCTCCTGTTGGGTTTGCAGTTTTCTGCTCCAAACAATGAGACAGCAAATTTTATTCTGAACCACAAAATAGAGATTTCTGAAGAAGTGCTGGTCAAGAAGGGGTGTTCTGGTCTGGAGTTAAAGGGATGGTGAGTGGCAATTCATTTACATTCCCTTTTCAGCAATATCAGTGTTGATTTGATTGCTGCTTCCATAGCTAGAAGTGGGAAGGATAGGGGGCTGAATATACATGTAGCAACATGGCATGAGGATAACTGGAAACCAGCAACATGGTAGGTCTGAGGAGGTTACTATGGCAAATGCACACAAATCAGGACGAGGAGGAGGGGAAGAAGAAGAAGGAAAAGGAGAAGGAGAAGGAGAAGGAGAAGGAGAAGGAGAGAGTTATATGCTTGGGTATTCACCACCTAAAGCAACCACATAGCAATTTCTAAGCGTGCCTCCCCCAACATTAATTTTCCTGCTAGCTAAATTTTAACTTGTTTTGTTTTCTTGCATTTAAGTAGAAATCCTGATTCCTGCCTTTCTCCTGGTCAATAGTTTAACAGGGAAAAGTAAAATTTATGTTCAATTGTTTCCATAGCAACCATCTCTGATCCATCTGCTTTCCCTTACATACCTATCTTCTTTTAAAGAGACCCTAGCCCTGTCTAGCTACCACTGTTTAAAAGTATTGTACTATACTCTATGGGCAAATTAAGAATTTTTTTCAACAGTAATTTTGACTATATATATAAAAGTCAATAATTTTTGACTTATAAAAGATATCAATTTTTTAAAAAGAATTATGTCACAAAAGCTAAAACTCAGAATGAGCAAAGGCTTATGAAAAATCCTAAAGAATACCAAAAGGGCTTTTACAAAGCAATGTTTGAAGACTAGAGAGAGACAGAGAGACAGCAAGAGAGAGAGAGAGAGAGAGAGAGAGAGAGAGAGAGAGAGAGACAAAGACTTTTTGTTGAGCAAAGAACTAGAAATAAAGTAAGTGCTTACCAACTGAGGAACTGCTGAACAAATTATGATATATAAATAGTGTAATTCTAATGTCCTGTAAAGAAATTTATGGGATAGCAACTTAAGGAAAATGGATAAGGATAAGGTTTGCTCAAATGAGCAAATAGCTCACTAGGGAGTCAACTGGTGAAGAATTAAAATATTGCTGGACAACAACAGGACCTAGATGATATTACATTGTATGATTTATAGTGGATCCAACCCATTATAAATCCAGTGTGATATTGAGACTTCCTCTAGCAGTACCTAGAATCCTTGGACAGGAACATAAAAAGGGGATAATTGAGGTTTCCTCTTGTTGGGGATTAGCAAGGTGGGTACAACAGGACCAGGATTGCAGGATGCTGGCAAAAGCTGCTGCTGCTGTTGTGGATTCTTTGTTTCTGAAGAGGAGCAATGACATCATGGGGTGATATCTTGATGTACTCATGAACTGGATTTAAGTGAGGCAGAGTTAGCCTCAGTCTCTCTTCGAGAGTCATGGCAGTCCAGCGGCAAGACAAAAGTGAAGACAATTGGCAATGGCCCAGGATGCTCTGTCGAAATGATCGACCATGATCTTTAAGGTCTCTTCCAGTTTTAAAATTCAGGCTCCTTTAGTCTTGATTTGGACCTTAGGATAGGGGCAAGACAGCTCTCTTATACATTTCAGAACATTTTCCTGGAGCTCAGCATACTGCTGCTTTTCCTTTCCAAGGAAAACATAAGCATAACTTACTTAAATGAAGAAATATAAGCTATCGACATCCACATAAAAATGTTCTTGAATTCTATGTGAGGTCTCTCTATAATGCTAGAATCACATCTCCAATGGCCTGCACTACTAGTTCAAAGCTCAATGGGTCCCAAATGAAACTTACTTCTACCCCACTCCATCTCAATCCCCTCCTTCGAATTTTACTCTTTCTGTTATGAATATAGTTATCCCTCCCATATCTCAGAGGTTAGGGGCATGGCATCCCTCTTTCCCCCAGCAATCTGGAAAATCCGAGTAAAATTTTTTGGCTCTCCGTACTAAAAAAGAAGTCTGAATTTTTTTCTTTCTTTTATGGGTTGTTTATAGTACCTTATTGTAAAATTTGGGTTAAGTATTTGGTTATAGGCTCTGTGTCATCTGTGGCTTCTGCAAACTTCCCCAAAATTCCCATTTAATGTCTTATGCCAACCTGAGATTGTACGGAAATTGGAATGGGGAAAGTCAAGATATGGCAGGGATAACTGTATCTTGTTTATAGTAACTGTTTCCCAAGTTACTCATACTTGAAACCTCAATGGCATCTTTAACTCCTTTCTTTCCAGAACCTTTATTGTTAGCCACCAAATCTTAGCAATTATTTTTTTTTAGACATTCTAGTGGTACTGCAGCTGAGGCATTTCTCTATTCTATAATAGTCAAATGGTCTGGGCTCCCATTCTGCAGTCTCTCTGCTCCCTCTGTGCTGTTCCATACCATCCTACATAAAGTAATTTAATCTATGAAGATTATATTTTAGAAGAAACTTTTTTCATAAAGTCACTCCTCTGCTCAAAATTTTTATTGGTTCCCTAATTAACTTCAGAAAGAAGTTGTAACTAGTTTGCACTATGTAGTTACCTTACCAGACTTCTCTCCTACTATTTCCCTAAGTGAATCTTCTGTTCAAGTCAAGCTTAGTGTTCTTCTCTACGATTTGTACTGTCTCTTCCATGCTTGCGTTCATCTCATTCTCCTCACCTGGCATTCTCTTGTCCTTCTTTGCCTGTCCAATTCCTACCAAACTTTTTAAAGCCCAGTTCAAGTATCATCTCCAGCCTACAATGACCTCTCCCTTCTCTAAACTCACAGGACAATTTTAAAAATCGTGAAATGTTAGAGCTGAAAGGGAATAGAGGGATCATTTAGCCAGACCTTCTCATTCTACACTGGGGCTTCAGGAAGAGAATTAGCTCAAAGTCATTTGGTTAATTAGTCACCAAGCTCAGATCTCCTGACCCTTAGTCCAATCATCTATCATACTTCACTGCTGATTGTGTGCTCTACCCACTAGTAGCCAAACAGCCCATGAAAAGGGATGGGGCTCTTGCCATCTAGGGGTACAGAAAACCCCAAAATTCAAGGGCAAAAGGTTTGGGCCCTGCTTCAAAAGAATTCAACTCAAGCCTTGGCAAGAAAGTAATTGTCCACAGTGTATATGGAGGGGAGTAAAGTATAAGAAGCCTGAAAATGTAGTGAAGGGTTTTAAAAAGAAGGGTATTTTATATTTGATCTAGGAGGTAATTAGGGAGCCACTGGAGTAACTGAGTCAGGAAATGACAAGATCAGATCTCTAGAAAGATCTTTGCAGATGAGTAGACTGGAGTGGGGAGAAACCCCACTGGGGGCAGGGAGATCACCCAGCAGTCTCTTGCAATAGTCCAGGAGTGAGGTGATACAGGACCGGCACCAGGACAGAAGCTGTTCAGAGGAGAAAAGTCATTCACGAGAAGATAACATACCTGCTCTATTATATATGTGAAATTTGCCCTGTCATTCTGTGGTCATTGTGGTTCATTACAAAAAACATGGAACTTTCCTGATGAACTCAGAAGTTACAGAAAATGAGTTCACTTTGAAGCTCTGACATTTACTATCTGTAGGACCTTGGGCAAGTTACTTAGAGCCTCTCTGGGCCTTGGTTTACCTGGGGAAGTGCTGCAGGGTTCTGTCTTCCACCTGCAAGACAATTTTTTTGGACACTGAGATTGCTTTGCCAAATTGGCTTATGATATGAGTTGGGAAGAATAGCTAAGACATGGAAGACAGAACTGGAAAACAGATCCAGAATGGCTGAATGAGTATAATCAGTTAAGTTGAAATTTAATAAACAACAAATGTAAAACCCTGAAACTTCCTTTTTAAAAAAGTTTTTATCGATGTCTTTTTTCACATTACCATGATTTTTCCCAGTATTCTTCCTCTTCTCCCTGCCAGAGAGCCACCCCATATAAAAACATTTTTTTCACATAACAATAGCTTAAAGACAAAACAAATAAATTAATGAATGAAAAGAAGAAAAATAATCAGCCTACATGATCAAGACATGGAAAATGCATGAAAATATGTGCAAAGTACACCGCTTGTGGACCTCCCACCTCTGCACAGGGCTGGGCGGGGAGGGGGAGTCGAGCCATATTTTAAACTTAGCTTTTGTTTGTTTGTTTGAAATCTACAGCAGAAGTGCAGGACAACAAGAGGATTATGCGACGGCCACAAAAGGCCCAATAGAAAGGTTCAGGGAAAACTTCCCAGAAGTCCGTCTTAGCGAGGAAGAAGGAAGTATTAAAACTTCTCAAATTAACACCCCCTGGGCTGACTTGGAAGGAAATTGCCTCATGGAAATCACGTGCCTTCACTTCTTCCAATTGAAATTTAGCTGTCGTCGCTTTCCCTGATCCCCATGGAAACAATCACCGCCCCTTCCCGATCATCCCGCCCCCTCGGTGGTCTGCTTAGGCTGTGCTATTGACTCCTCAAGATGACAATCAAGAACCCGCGCTTGTTTTGGAAAGACCTGGCGGAAAGCACTTCCTTCTCTAGGGAAACTTTGCCTTTTGATTCGTCAGGAGAGCCGGGGCCTGGAACCAATCAGCGGCTTCGTCGGCTCCGTGGCTCCACGTCGGCACCAACTGAGGGGCAAGATGGAGGCGTTGATCCTGGTAGGAGTTGGGGAGGCACCTGGGACACTGGGGTTCCTGGGGAGGCCTGGAGTCGAGGCTAGTTCTAGTAATGGGGGGATTGGAGCGGGCAGTGGGAAGGGAGAGTCAGGAACCTTCTCTAGGGGACTGGCATCGCCTCGTATGCTGCACAGCACGTGCGGCCTAGTGCCCTGGCCGAAGCCTCGGACTCGAGTAGAAGGCCCAGCCGGGGAGGGAGCGCGCTGGCAGTAGGGTCTGGATAGGTCGGGAGCCGTGATGTTGGAGGGAGAAGCAGGAGGAACCCCGGGAGCAGCTCTAGTCTTCAGGGGACCAGGATTAGGCTCCCCCCCCGCGCGCCCCGCCCCATTCCTCCACTCCCTAACAGCACTTCTCAGCCTTGGTGGGGGGGGGGGTCTACATGTGACTGGGACCTCTCGGAACTCCCTCCCCAGATTGTGAGGGGAGAAAGTCTTGTCATCGCGGGCTCGCTGTTGTTCTTCATGCCCGGGGCAACGGCATCTGGGTCTTCCTCATTTCATGGTCTTTTTTTTACCATACAGAGTTTCTGCATCTTTCATATTTAGGGCCTTGATTTCAGGCATCTTTTTCCTATCTTTTATAAGCCCTTTTCATCTCTCCACCCCATAATGACCTTTGTGCTCCTCCTGTTTATATATGAAGGGCCTGTCGCCCATACAGGGAAATGGCTTTTCTGCCAAAAGTGCAGTTAGTACAGGTAGTCTAGACTTCCAGAGCTGTTTATTCTTTCTCTCATTCGCCATGATATTTGTAGTTTCCAGAAAGATGACCAAGCCAACATCTTTCCTCTCCTCCAAGAACTTGAGTGTGTTATCACCTACATATGTTGGGAATTTTCTATTTAGAGCTGAGCCTCTTCCCACTTCCCAGAGAAGCATCCATCTTTAATCTTCTAACCCCCAGGAAAGAGAAAAACTAATCTGTTTGATCATCCTCGGGTATCAGAACACCACATTTTCACCCTTTTCTTCCCAAGGTATTTAGTCCAGGGGATTCCTGTTTCTTTTCATGAAATAGCTGTGAAACTTAGAGTTTGGTGTTGGAAAAGTCCAAGTAGAAAATTTGAAAATTGAGCTAGGTTTTTTTTTTTTTTAAAGACTTTATGCTCTTTGAGATTTGAAGGACATCTTTGTTCTTAAACTGGTGAAGGGGTTAACTTCTTTCATGGAGATCTTTAAATATTAGATGTTTGTTTCCCTCTATTTCTTTTTAGAAGATGTCTTTCTTGAAGGACAGGCAAGAATATGAGGATGCCTAGAGGGCCCTTTCAAAAGTGTGTATGTGGTTGAATAAGAAGGCTGAAATTACTGTTTTTTCGACTCTGACTTTCTGCATTATCTCTCAATTTGTTGTTGTGTTTCTGATATACCCTTCCTCCTGATCTGTTCTTCAGATATTCTAGTATCATAGTAGCAGTGGGTGTCCCTGGCCTATATTCAGATACCTGTGTGATAGAGGGAAAACTTAGGTATGATAAAGAGTTTATCTAAGGAACACACTAAAAGTAAAATTATGAATTAGACCCCAGTTTTAACGTGTACACCCCTCTCCTAGAGCTGGATTCTTCCCTTTATTTAAATGGTCTTTCCTTTGAGTGCCTATATGTCAAAGTCATCCTCAAAACATCGGTTCTTTTGGAGCTCATTATTAGCATGTGGTGCTCCTGGGCATTGTAACAGTTTTCTATTCATTTGGTCATTAGTTTCTTCAGTTTTTACCAAATTTTCCTTTCCTTGAATTAGAGATTACTACCATATTCTGCTATTTGCATTAGGTTTTAATGTTTTAACTCCCTTTGGAATGTTCTCTCTCGTTCTCATAGCCAAGGTTTTCCTTTCCTATCAGGGAATATCTTCCCTTTTTTGCCCTTAGTGCCACCATATACCTAACAAAACGAATTCATTTTTTGCTTTTTTCACTTTAGAATCCCTTCATCAGATTCTTTTGATTATTCAATTTAATTCAAGAAATATTTACCAGTAAGAGTGGGGAACTGTTTTTTCTCACTGTCTCTAATGAGCAGCACCATCTGGTCTTGAGAACGCTTTTCTGGATCAGTCTATGGTGCTGAGCTAAATAACTGTCTTACCTGGATAGTGTTTAACAGTCTATGACTACTTGGAAAGATGAACTCCCTCTGCATCTTACTCTTTCACGTTACTTCCTGGTTTGATAGTTGAGGGCCCCAAGTCAACATCTGAAGAAACCTTTGGTGCTTAACCTAAGTGTATCATATCATGTCTATACTCCTGTTAGCACAGTTTTTATATGGTTGTTCAGTCATTTCAGTCATGTCTGGAAAATCTTCATGACCCCATTTGAGGCTTTCTTGGCAAAGATGCTGGAGTGATTTGCCATTTCCTTCTCCAGCTCATTTTACCAGTGAGTTAACTGCGGCCAACAGGGTTAAGTGACTCACCCGGGTCTTCCTGATTCCAGGCCCAGTGCTCTATCCACTGTACCACTCAGCTGCCCCTCCACAGTTTTTATAGAGTTTGCTCATTTGGATGGACTCTGGACAGCAAAAGGATCATTGGGCAAGGTGCTGTCCTGGTTGTGGCAATTTCTGATTCTAATATACTCCTATTATTTAGGATTCTATCTATGTTGCCTTTCACTATTAGAATATTAGCTTTTTTGAGAACAGGGGCTATCTTGTACTCCCAGCACTTAGTGCAGTATTCTGCACTTAGTGAGCACTTAATTGATGCTTTTTCATTCATTCGTTGTTTTTATTCATGGAAATCAAAGCTTTGTATAGTCCTTGAGTAACAGTCCAACCTCTTCATTCTCAGTAGCAGTGTGTCTAACCTATACAATCATCTCAGGAAGGAAAATCCTCCCCCATTTCTGGTTCTTAACAATTCTGTTGGCTGAGTCAATGTGATTAATCACTGCTTGTTCAGCTGCTAATGCAATCCTTTTCTTTTTGTTCTGATTGGAAGGAAGAACAGGTTTCTTTCTCCCATTGATAACCCTTCAAAACCTTAAACATGGCAGTTCAGTTTCTTATTCTTCCTCTCCCTCTCCTTCTAAGCAATGAATCATCTTTCTTATAGACCCTACCAAGGATCATTGGTTTAGAGTGAGAAGGTACCTTAGCGGTCCTCTAGTCCAGTCCCTTCAACTTGCAAAAGAATAAACAGGTCCAGAGGGCCTTCCTCTGATTTACACAGGTAGTAAGTAGCAGAACTAAGATTTGAACTTGGGTCTCTGATTGCAAATCCAACACTTTCTGTTGTACCACACTATCTTTTGGATTCTTGTATTTAATCCTCACTCCACTCTTTTAAGTATCAGTTTCTAGACTTCCAAAGCTATTTACTCTTTCTCTCCCCATAACAGTGCTGTAGTCACAGTTAATAAAACCCAAGGTTTGTTCAGAAAATTAGGCCATTTAAGGTCAGTGAAGATGTGTTATATAGGGAGGAGGGAAACTGAAAACAACTCAGTGAACTTAAGGGTTGACATTAGTCTATGCCCCTTGGCTCCTGAATCATCTTGATGGGTTTTTTGTCTAATTCCTTTGGCACGAACAGTGGAAGTACTTGGCCTAGAAGACCCTTTCCCCTGATCCAGCAAAGGCATCAATTACATTAAGCCCCCAAAGCATTCCCATCTAGTTCCTAGCAGCCCCCGGTGCCCCTCTCCCAGCTGTGTCCTTGCTGCTGCCGGGCCTTTCCATTTAGTTAGAAGAAGTAATCTCCTCTCTCTCACACCGTGGAGATATATTTCTTGACTGGGGCGAGAACGGTGCCAGCACTGCCCCCGGTGAGGTCCCTGGCAGCCATAAAAATTTTTATTGTGATTATGCTGGTGTCAGGGTGTCCATCTGGGTTATTGCACACCTAGTTTAATTGATTGAAGTTTAATTTATTGACACTTCAAATTAAATGATCAGAATAAACTGTGCTGTTACTCTGGCCGGCTTGTTTTAATGGTTGATTGCTGGAAGCAGACCTCAGCTTGAACTAAAGCCCCTGAAGAGCAATTGATGCAGCTTCTAACTCTCCTCATGCCTTGCCCTCCGAGAAGACCTCGTTATAGATTTCCGACGTATTTATATATTTTGTTCCCCTCTCCCTCACTGTGGTGGGAAGGAGCCAGTCCCTGGCAAGGTGTAAATTACCTCAAAGGTCCAGGGAAGTAGTCACATGGTCAAGAGAGAGAGAGAGAGAGAGAGAGAGACCTCTAGATTGGAGAAAAACAGACTCCTAAGGGGCCAGATCTACTAGTAGAGGCAATTATCTGGTTAATTAAGACAGTCAAATAGCTTTGCCTGAATTATCCAGAGTTGGTGGGAAAGGTATTGGAGGGGCTGCTAGTTGAGAGAGAGCAGAGAAAGCCAAGAGAGAGAAGGTAATTAAGAAAAAGATTTGGGCTTGGAATTATCCCCATGCTTACCACTGCTTTTCATTTTACTCCTCGTGTATAGATATGATCATTAAGAGTTCTGGTTTTTAACAAGGAAAGCTGGGGGTTAGTCAGTGAAGTGCAGCATTGATAAGTGACTGTGAAGAGACAATGAATCAGCCCGTCCCATCTGCCCTTGTTAGTTTCCGTCTCAAGTAGGAATGACAGAGGACTGGGCAGAAGTTGTAATGTTGTCCCATGGGATAGTTGATGGATATGGCTCATGAATGAATGTATGCCAGCCATCATATCCTTGGGCTCATAGGGCCCCCCAAAATCATCTTGTCTCTTCTTATCTGCAGGTAGAACAGCTTTAGTCTAGGTCTCTTATTTCCACTCCATTGTTGGACAGATTTTCCCTTCAAAATATATTCCTAAATCACCAAGTTATCCAACCTAAGTCACTCCTGTTGCAGTTGAAACTAATTTTCTCTTACCATTTCTCCTCACCTTTTTCTGCCACTCAGGTTTATGATTCTATGTAAATTTTTGATAGTTGAGATGTTTAAGGTGGTCTCACTACCTAGATAGTCCATGGCACACAAGTTTTTAGAGAATGGCTCTTACCT